TTCCAGAGGGTGGCAAAACGTTATACCTATTTTTAAGTCAGGTATTAAGTCAAATGCAGAAAATTACAACACGATTGTATTAACGTCGATTTCATGCAAATTTATTTATTTGTTTATTTCAATACCCTCAGGGCCCAGGGGCATTACAGAGGGGGTGGACATAAAGTATTGGCTCGGCATAAAATTCAAACAAGGCAACTTGGTTATAAATGTTAGTACGGCATAACCTTAGCAAAAGTGAGTAGTTAGAGCTTTTCTAAATACATCTATTGATGGAATAGTTACTAATGACGCGGGAAGGTGGTTCCATTCAGATGACGTTCTAGGGATGAAAGAATTGATGTAAGCTGAAGTTTCGCAATGAGGTATGCCAACTTTAAATTTGTGATCAATGCGGGGAGAAATGAAAAGTGTGTGTGTGTGTGTGGGGGGGGGGGGGGGGCTAATGAATAGTTCGTTTTTCGGTGAAGCGTTGGAATGTTAGATTTTATGGAAGAGGCATACACGAGATATTTTCCGACGTGAGGAAAGAAGAGGCAGGGCTAGGGTGGTTTTCATAGACGAGACACTTGCGGTGCGATGATAGTTGCAGACTATGAATCGTGCGACGCGATTTTGCAGGGCTTCGATGTTTGTTGTAACCGTTGAGTGACCTGGATCCCAGATTGCTGCGGCATATTCCAACTTTGAACGTATTAAAGTCTTATACAAGAGAAGTTTTTTAAATATCCAAGCATTGAATTTGCGTTAGCGATTATATGATCAGAATGAGTTTTCCATGATAGGTTATAAGTGAAGTGAACACCGAGATACTTGAAAGAGGTTACAGATGCCAGCTGCATATTGCATATCGAGTATGGTGATGATGATATGTTACGACGAGACACCCTCATAGTCGTACATTTGCTAGTATTCAGAGTCATTTGCCATAAGTTGCACCATTCCGATACCGCGCATAAATCAGCTTGAAGAAGTGCCGCGTCGGATTCGTTTGTAATTTTACGATATATTACACAATCATCTGCGAATAAGCTAATAGGGGATGATACACACATTGGTAAGTCATTAATATACATAAGAAACAGAAGGAGTCCCAAAGCGGACCCCTGGGGAACACCGGAGCTGAGGGCACTGAGGCAAGAATTTGCCTCATTGGTAGTAACAAACTGTGATCGATTAGTTAGGAAAAATTTAATCCAGAACAAGACTTTAGGATCAATATTCAGTTTGTCAAGCTTAAGAAACAGTAGTTGGTGAGATACTTTATCAAAGGCTTTGCAAAAGTCGAGAAAGACGCAGTCAACCTGAGATTCACGGTCAAGGATGGAAAAGAGATCATTAGTGAAAGTCAGAAGTTGTGTTTCACATGACAGGGATTTCCGGAAACCATCTTGCGAGGCTGAAAAAAAAATTATAATCTAAGAAACTAACTAGAATAGAGTAAATGATGTGCTCTAAAATTTCACAGGGCGTGCTGGTTAAGGAAATGGGTCGATAATTAAGAGGACTATGTTTGTTACCTGATTTATGAAGCGGAACCACCTTTCCTATTTTCCAATCGTCCGGCAAAATGCCAAGGTCAAGTGATTGTTCAACAATTTTTAGATGGAAAACTAAAATATAACTTTTTGTAGATTTAAGAAATTTAGAGCTCATGTTATCAACACCACTCGACGAGGACACTTTAAGATCATCGATTAGTTTAACAATCCCGTCATAATCAAAAACAAGCGGGTCCATTGGAAAGGAGTTATAAACAACAAGATAAGTGGGGCAATCTAAGTCAACATCACTAGAAAACGCTTTCACAAAAATATCATTTAGTACAGATGCACAGTGCTCGCTCAGAATATCTACACCGTCATCCCCTGTGTTTGAACACACTAGATATGAGTAATCTCTTCTGTTTTCTGGGTTCAAGTAACTTCTTTTCCCCACCGCAGCACGGCTTTCGGAGCGGGTATTTTAGCGATACGCAATTAGCAGAATTGTATCACCGACTTTCTAAGTCGTTAGTGACAAAAAAATGTCGATTGTGTATTCATAGATTTTCGTAAAGCATTCGACACGGTGCCACATTACTAACTGTTCTACAGTTGACATTGCTTAACATAGATCCCAACGTCTTGAACTGGGTAGGACAATAATTAGAATGTCGAGAGAAGCCCATTGGAAATGGTAGTTCATCCTCATTAGCCAGGATTACAAGGGGTGTGCCTCAAGGTAGTGTTTAAGGAACTCTGTTATTTCTTGTTTATATTAATGATGCAACTAAAAATATACAGTCTCATTTCAAACTATTCGCAGACGATCGCGTTTCATACCGGGAGATAAACTCGTCAGGCGACATTGCCATCTTGCAAAGTTACCTAAGCGTTTTATCCAATAGGTGTAAGCTGTGGGAAATGAGCCAACATTTAGATAATATTCATATGTGTTTTTCAAAAAGCACACATTTCTCAAGGTTACATAATGAATGAACGGTACAATCCTCAGTATTGCCACTGAATCTACCTACCTAGGAGTATTGTTTACGGATTCCCTTGATTGGAATAGTTATATAGAGCGCAGAGTAGCAAAAGCAAGCAAGATGTTATGTTTTATACACCGAAACTTTAGCAGCTCGTTGCGGGATGTAAAAGACACGCTGTGTTTTTCTTTTGAGGTGTCTATTTTAAATTACGCTTTTGTCATATGAGATCCGCATCATGATTATCTCAATTGTAAACTAGAAAAACTTCAGAATCAGGTCGCACAGTTTGTTCTAAATAACTATGACCTTACTATAGCATGTCAGCACTGAAGGCCGTGAGGGAAACGCTCTAAATAACAAGGAAAAAACTAGGACTGAATTTTTTTCATCGTATATTTTACAATACTGGAACTGATAAAACAGCATATATCTTGAAGCACTCGCACGGGAGTACAAATAGGTTGGTGTATGTCATTACAAAACTGACTCTTTTGCAAATTCGTTCTTTGTTAAGATTTCCAGGGAGTAACGCAACCTTCCGAAACAAATTGTGCGCGTTGATGAAAATGCGTTTTCTTTTGCCGCTTATCTAAATGCATAGAATAACCAGCCTTACAATAATTCTCACGATGCGATGTAGGTACATTGCAAATAAATGAATAAAATATATAAATAATTGAGGCCTAGTTTAGCCATTGACACGTCGAATCTCCTTCTTGAACTCGGCTGGAAAATAGAAAGTTGTTGTGAACGTCCGTGAAAGTGACAAGGACCGCGTCTGATTTCTACGCAGCACATCGCCACGTGATGCCGCCCCTGTTTAGTTCACAGAGGATTCAGCGCGCAGATCAGCAGGGAGATTTTCGCACTGTGCACAAAGAAGTTTCCTCCATGCATCACGCCAGCGGCGGCGTAGCCAAACTGGCTGACGTTATGCAAAAAAAAAAAAAAAAAAAAAATAATAATATACGATGCATTTTATACAAAATTAAATATTGCGCTCTTTTTGGGACACCTTCACAATCACGGGGGGGGGGGGGGGGGGGGGGGTACCAAGTATTCCCAACAATGAATGCGGGTGATCTCGCCACAGTTACAGCTGGATGACATCTCTTCGTCACGTGCTCAAACTTCCGCTACCTGCTGGACATCCACTCATCACTTTTTCAATTGAGACAAAAAGTGCTACGTTACGTGATGCAGATAAGAGGTTTTTGTGAAGCATGGGTTATCCGGAAAGACTTGAAGACACGTGCTGTAGTTGCAGGGGTCTTCGCTTACGTGTCCCCGATAATCCTCGTTCAAAAGAAAGCAAAGAGCGGTGTGGGCGTCGTTTGGACAAAGCCATTTCAGATAAGCTAACTGTTAAGGTAGGCCAGTGGACTTATGGACTTCTCTCCAGAGGCTTCAGATCAGGGCTCCGAGGAAGCTTGCATTGCAAGCAAAAGTTGATAGCAAATACATATTGTTACCGTAATGAAGGAGATAATGCACGAAGGGGATATATACGGAAGTCGTCGTTTGTCGTTGTTTTCCGTCCCTTTGTCCCTTCCTCATATTCAGGGATATTCGTATCTGCAGCGACGACTTTTCTGCGAGTATAGACCAGTGTTTGCTCTGTTCCATGGGTGCCGCCATGTTTGTTTATGCTGACGGGGAGGTTACAAATTTTTGCACATATTGTAGTTCAAGAACGTCAGGAGAATGCATAGTCACGAAACTCAAAGAAAAACACCGATGCTAAGAGTTCCGTAAAAAGCAAAAATCTTGTTTTATGCGTAGCCCCTCTCTTCACAAGATCCTGCGTTTAAGATTGTTATTTACTATTCTTTTCGCTAAAGGCTAGGATTTCGGACACTGGTCGTCGCCAGCAGAGTGACAGCCCACGGTTATACGCTGTCTCATTGTAACTTTTGAGGGTACCAGTTAAATCGGTTATGATTTACTCAGAAATTCAGAAATATGCTCATTTATTATCTGGCAGGATAATAAATGATCATATTCCCCCCAAAAATAAAAAAAAAAAGATTTTTTCGTTAACAATCAACACACTGTTTATATTTATAAATAATCCCGCGTGCACTGCGCGTGCACAGAAACCAGATTCGCCTGAGGCGAAGCATCTGCGCATGCGCAGTGGCATGACGTCATAGAGTTGAGTTGGTCTATAGACAAATGCCCAGATAAGCCTTCTTTTTCCTGAAATTGTCAAGAGCAACGTGGGTCATTGTGACATTTATTATGACAAAAGGAAACAAACGAAATAAAAACAATTTTCAATTAAATGATTACCGCTACAGTGGCCCACCATGTCATTTCATGGCTTCACGCGAGCTAAGCTTAGCTCATAGGAAAACATTTTTTTCTGTGTAATATCTTCTTCAAGTGATCTCGTCCTTATAATTTTTACTAAAACAATGCATGATCTAATAACATCTCTGTGCTAAATTACATTTATGCAGTCCCTTCAAAGGGCCAACGCGCCATCTGGTCCACCGCGGCAGGTTCTGAAAGGTATTTCCAATTGTTTTCTCGTCCAGCAATTTATTGTCATAAGCATTGGCTATTTACAGCGAATATTGAAGGTGGTCATGAGACTGGGATGTGCTCGTGGAGGTACGTCATAGAGCCATTTTTGTTAAAGTCTTGCACCACATTGCCGTTAGCCCTGAGCATCCACTTGGTGGTCAGGAGGCCATCCAGGCCCACTGGACCACGGGCGTGGATGCGACCGGTACTGATGCCGACCTCGGCGCCTGCACAGCAGAAATGTAGAGTGAAGATAGCTCTTAGGCGCACCGGCGTAACAAGACAGACGTTCCAGAACATACCGAGTCCAAAGCGGTACCCGTCCGCAAAGCGCGTGCTGCAGTTGTGGAACACACATGCACTGTCGGCGCCTTGGAGGAACCTCTCAGCTGTTTCGTCTGAAACGAGAAGGAGTCTCGGTGAGTAAACAAATCATAAAACAAGACTGGGTTTTCACTCACGGTTTTCAGTGACAATGGCATCGGTGTGAGCACTTCCGTAGGTGTTGACGTGATCCAGTGCCTCCTGTACGGAGCTGACCACCTCGACGGCGCACTCCAGATCGCTGTACTCGATCCTCATCGAGCGAGCCGCGGGTGGCCCGAACGTGAGCAGCTGCGCAAGTCGAGAACCCGAGTGAAGGCGGACGCCCTGGGCTTTGAGCATGGTGCAGAGCTCCGTAAGCAGGCCGCTGTCCACGAGGTCCCGGTGTATCAAAAGCGTCTCCATGGCGTTGCAAGCGGCGGGGTAGTCGCACTTGGAGTCGACCACGATGCGTTTCGCCTTCTCCGGGTCTGCGTCACGGTCCACGTACACATGGCATACGCCGTCGCTGTGACCCAGCACAGGGATGCCGCGGCTTTTCTCTTGGATGGTGCGCACCAGCTCGGCAGAGCCTCGGGGAATGACGAGGTCAATATTTCCCTCAAGCTGGAGCAACTCTTCGACATCCTCGCGCGTGCTCACTAAAGTGATGGCGTCAGAGGCCCCATATGGTGCGAGAGCCTCCTGTGCTAGTTGAAAGAGACAGCGGTTGCTGTGCGACGCTTCGCGACCTCCTTTCAGCAGCAACCCATTGCCTGTAGCCATGGCGAGCGCCGCTACCTGAGGTAAGCAGTCGGGACGAGACTCGAAGATGACCAGAAGCACGCCGATGGGAACCGTTACTTGGGTCAGATCCATACCTTCGGCTATACGCGTACGTCGTACGACGCGACCAAGCACATCGTGCGACGTCCGCGCGATGGTGCGGAGGCCGTCGGCCAGTGCTGACAGCTTGGCTGGTGACAGCTCCAGACGTGCCAGCAAGGCGTCACTCAGGTTTTCTTCGCGGGCCGCTTGCAGGTCACGCAGGTTGGCTTCCATTATGACTTTCGTCCGCGATTCCAGCAGGTCAGCCAAGCATGTTATAATTGCTGCGCGGTCAGACGCGGATAACGCCTCGAGCAGGCGGCTGCCCTGACGCGCATTGGCCGCCATTGATTCCAGAGATAGCATCTTGCTGTGATGGTTTGTGAAGAATGTGCCCACGCGTTTGCCCTGAACGATGCGCGTGATGGCCATGTCTTCAAAGCCGCTCCCGATGACCACAGAGACGCCTCGTTCGAGGGCCCAGCAGGCGGCCTTGATCTGCAAAGGAAGAGTACCATTGTAGCAGCGGAATCGCAGCCCAGTAAATGGGTCACCTTAGACTCCATGCCTCCCAGGCCCACTTTAGACTTGGAACCGAACTGTATGCTGCCGTTGAAGGACGGATTGTACGTGTGAAGCAGCTTGGCGCCGTCCTGACCAGGGGGACGAGTGTAGATGCCATCTACGTTGGACATCATGAGCAAAAGGTCCGCGTCCGCTTCGACAGCCAGGTGAGCTGCGAGGCTGTCGTTGTCCATGATTCCCACCTCTGAGCTCAGTTTCTGCAACGAGTAGAGTGTCATTGAGAACAACAGCACTTTGTTCCACCGCATACATCTTAACATGAAACAAGATTCTCCAAATAATATTGGCGACTGTATATGTAACACAGCATTCGGCGTGTTTATAGTCGCTGACAGGTTAAAAATAAAAATAATATCGAAAAATGAAAATGACAGACGTATTACTCTTGAAATGAAATTATCATAAGTTATTTAGTATATGCACCAAGCTTCGCGATTTTTCGAGCTCTAGTTATAGACGATGTGCGAAACTGTTTGGTGGTCTGGTAACACTGCGCGCATCCATCTTGGTAGAATGTAATCTCTATTTGCTGTCTGCACAGCATCAACCGGGGGGTCACGTGACACTCCTGTGATGTCACCTCACTACGTCATGCATCTCTGCCGGTGAGGGCCATGCGACCTTCGATTTCTTCGCGTTTTGTCGGTTGGCGTTATTTGGGCTCGTCGATCGTCAAGCTGATCGCTCCGCGAGCGGGTAGGCTCGGCCGCCGCGAAGCGTCGCATATGGGTGGGCCAAGTGGCGTAACCTTTTCGTAATGAGTCGCCGCAGACGCAGGGGGGGGGGGGGGGGGGGGGGGGTTAGCACGCGCCTCTGTTATAACCGACAAAACGCGAAGAAAAAAAAAAAGTCACGCGACCCTCCACCAACAAAAATGCGTGACGCAGAAAAACGACGTCACTGGAGCGTCACGTAACCCCCTGCGGTTCATGCTGTGCAAATAGGCACTCCCGAAATTTCTTGAGTTTCGGAGCATTTCGAGGGCAGGGACGCTCTGCCAGTGATTCTGTGATGCAGCAACTTCCTTGTTTTCCGACATCAAATAAATCACCCGACGTGGACGATGGACTTGGCAGTCGTTCCTTTCAAGTTTGAAGACACTTTGAATTAATTTTTGGCGCGAAGGCGCAAGAAGTCGTACTGTTTAGCGGTAAAAGCATGTAGCCCACCGTCTTAGCTCCAAGCCAATACATGTGACTCAAGGTTAGACATTTTTTCGAGCTGTTACTGGCGTTAGTTTTAGTCGGTGAAAGTTTTTTTTTTGTATCATTTTAATTAATTTACTAATGTTGATCCTTTCCAACTGGCGACCATGGCAACACTTGCAGAATTTTGGCGTCGTCTGCCCAAATTAATCACATGGCGTCCATAGACCACGTGACCATGATCGTGTAGTTAAACGCTCTCTCATTCTACGCTTACCCATGCTCGCACACTAGCGCTACTCCAACGCTACTCTCGCTTTCGACCCCTTGCCACCTTTGACCTCCCACACGGCATGCACGAGTGCCCGGCTGGCTCGCTAAGCGCTAAGCTACCCTAGGCCTCGGCTCGCCGGTTTCCTCTCCGATCGCATGTGTTGGCTTGCGTAGCTCCCAACGCAAAAGCACTTCCAAATGTCGCGAAAGGGCTGGTTCACACACTTGGGACTGATTACGACCGTGTGCTCTAAAACCATTACGACGAGAGAATACACTGGCGCCATCTATCGGGTACCCAAGGAACACTTGACATTTTTGTATATTTCGTACTTCTTTCGAGCATCACTCTTTCTTTTTCGCTCGATAAACTTTTGGCAATGTTAAAAACGACCTTTTTTCATCTATAATACGCCCATTTGATCTCGTAAATACCGCAAAAACTTCCCTCTGGTGAAATGCAGTTCCAGGGTCACCTCATAGATGGCGCCAGCTTGCCAGTACGTTCTCTCGTTGTAACAGATTACAGCAACTCGGTCGTAAGCAAACGCAAGTAGTAGAAAAGCCCATGCATGACAACTGTTTTGTTCTTATTCTCAGCAACTACTGAACCTACTGGGGTCGCGAAGTGGCTGTATTCCAAAGAGAATGAAAAAACTCATCAGCTTCGCGGAATTACAGGGTGCGGCCGTAAAAACTTTCACATTTGGCACGCCTAGCAGAAAACGAATTTCAAACGTACATACCTTAAATTGGGCACACGAACGTCGTTTATTCTAAAGTTTTTTTGCCTATTTTTTTCAGACGTCAACTCTGGTGTAGCGAATTATTAGAAAGATAACAAAAATGGCAGACGTGCATTTCCTATGGCCTATACCCGCCCGTTCGCCGTCTGCTATCTGGTTCGCGACGCCGCTCCCAGGTGGCGCACTGAACGCAAAAACGCAGGAAACGCCGCACGAAAGGCTGGTGTCGGGCGAGATAATCGCGATAAAAAGTGATTTGAACGAAATATCTGAACGATTATGCCCTTTTAGTTCAAATTTAGAAACTGGCGGACGCATTCGTTTAATAAAAATATGTTCTAAAGCAGACGAACGTGTGTCTTCCTTTGTCGTCTGCTTATCTGTTGACGGGCTCGTTCCCGGTGAAAGCTCAGCTTTGGAATCAAGAGTGCCGCTGCTGAGGCATCTTGATTGTTCCTATTTATTGTTTTTGTTGCACTATCTTCTGCAGTTATTATCAAAATATTTTGATAATAACTGCAGCGATGCCGCAATGCTCGGCAAGTGAGTGTGCCCAGGCAGTCAAGTGGTACGTGGAGCGGAACTCGGTGGGCCACAATAACACGAAAACTTCACACTGCATTTCATAAACGCCCGCCTTCACGCCCGACCGTTTTGAGTTGGGCGGATCGTTTTGTGAGTGGAGAAGACTTTGAAAAGAAGGATCCAGTCAGTGAACGTGAGAGCCTGCTGAAAAATGAGGAGCTCATTGAAGCGGTGTTTGCTGTCTTCGAGAGCGACCCGCAATTGTCAACAAGACGAGCAGCTGTAAATTAAATTATTTCGTCGCATCATGGTGTCTTCTTGCTTGCATGACGAACTGTCAGAACTTGAATTGAAACAGGTAATTTCAACAATCGTTCAGATATTTCGTTCAAATCACTTTTTATCGCGATTATCTCGCCCGACACCAGCCTTTCGTGCGGCGTTTCCTGCGTTTTTGCGTTCAGTGCGCCACCTGGGAGCGGCGTCGCGAACCAGATAGCAGACGGCGAACGGGCGGGTATAGGCCATAGGAAATGCACGTCTGCCATTTTTGTTATCTTTCTAATAATTCGCTACTCCAGAGTTGCCGTCTGAAAAAAATAGGCAAAAAACTTTGGAATAAACGACGTTCGTGTGCCCAATTTCAGGTATGTATGTTTGAAATTCGATTTTTGCTAGGCGTGCCAAATGTGAAAGTTTTTACGGCCGCACCCTGTACATTTCTCGATTTTGCGCTAACAGGGCCTCGAATTCTGAGAAAAAAAAACAACAACAACATTGTTTTAGCTTCCACTTTCAAGCTTCCCAGAAATTAAATTAAGAAAAATACAGATTCCGGAACAGCTTTGTAGTATCAAATGCATTTGTGAACCTATATCTACAAATAGAATTCCTCGGTGTATTGCCGTTGCGAAATGAATAGACCATTTTCTATATTACCCAAGCATCAAGGAGAATGCAGGGATTGGTGTTCCACGCGCCGCGCGCGCACGCCTTCCCCGTATAAAAGATTCGAAGTAAATAACCAAAATAAAGCATTGACGAGCGCGCGTGCACGGTACAATTTGTTTTAGGTTTTTGCTTTCAAAAATTTACTACTGCTGAGGCTAGCACGTGCGGCGCATGGAATACCAATCCCTGCATTCTCCTTGATGCTTGGGTAATATAGCAATAGGTCTATAGCAAAAGTTTGCGCTTCCGTGAAATAAAAAATTCGTCTGCTAAACACCATTTATGGGGCCCTACACGCAGTGGCGCCATTACCCGATAGTGCTCGCTAAACCGCACTTGGCAGTGATCATAAAGTCCATGTTGCGCTGTACTACTCCGCCGAGAGGATAGATAATACGTGCGTGCGGTGGTGTGCTTCACTTATATTCAAGAGTCTATGATGCTCATCTTCTAGAGGGGTCTTTTTCTGGTTCCGGTTATGGGCTGTGCGTGCTCTGGGGTCTGTTCCCATCTCACAAACAACTGCCGTGCTGACGAAAGCACGGCCGCGAGCGTGTGACCTTGGTAAGTGTTTTTTATGCGCGAAATATCGTACAAACAAAAGCATTGGGCAAATCTACAGGTTCACGCGCCATGCGCTGCACGAGCGCGTGTGCTTGGCAGAGTCCCGGAGCTCGCTCTTGTAGCTTGTGTGCTGTGTCGTGTGTATGTTTATACAGCCTGAAGCAACGGGTGACCGGTCTCTTAAGGGGTATTCACACGAGGGAGAAATCCCGGGGATTTCTCCCCGGCACGCGCGCATCACGAGATGAAAACGCGAGGCTTTTGCACATCGCAAAGCCTGACGTTTTCGTCGTGGGATGCGCGTGCCGGGGAGAAATCCCCGGGATTTCTCCCTCGTGTGAATACCCCTATCAGAAATTTAGCCAGTGCCGTACGACCGCTATAGCCTGGGATCTTTAACGTGCACCACGCAGTAGTGGTACAGGACCGCACGCCGGTACGACGCTCATGATCGAAACGGGCAGGGGTGGGGATCGGAGCTTCCACTCCACATGCTCCGAATTGGTGTTATCTGTTTATTTTCATGCCCACCGAGGAAGCTCCCCACCACGGCTTGTGTAAACTTTTATGTGAGTAAAATTATAAAAAAAGAGCAGACATTAACTGCGGTCCCTTCAATTGCGCCTACGATAAATCCAAAGTGTGCGCTAGACCACTCGGCCACCGATCCCCCGCTCTTGTAGCTTCTGCTACAGTAGTCTGGCATTCGCGCTTCGTCTTTTTTTTTTTTTTTTCTACCATAGTTTTTTTTTTTAACATAGTTTGTTTTTTTTTGACTGCAGCGCAGAAGGAAGACTACTGGCACGAGGTCAATGCCCAAACAAGATGTTCGTTCTGCGTGCAAGGGCGCAAATTGGAAGCAGCTTCAAAAATCCCAAGCTCGTTGCTTCCTGGGTTCCGAACGGGCACTGCAGTATCAAAACTGGAAAACTAACAACTAAATTTTTTTTGTGCAGTCACAAATTAGCCGCTCGAATAATGTAAATTGGAGAA